ATCGCGGAGAGGTACGGCAGGAACGCGACGTCCGCGCGCATGAAGTCGGCGACGCCCGCGTGCTGGATCTTCAGCACGACCTCGACGTCGCCCGTGTCGACGAACTGGACCGCGGCGCCCGCCGGGTCCGGCGCCGTCTTCGCCGGTCGCGGCGCGTCGAGGACCCAGTTCCGCCGCAGCGTCGCGCGGTGGACCTGGGCGACGGACGCGGCGCCGATGGGCCGGTGGTCGACGCGGGCGAAGATCTCGTCGAGGCGGTGCACGCCGAGGCGCTCCGCGACGGCCTTCTCGAGGGACGAAAAGGGCGCGGCGCGCGCGGCGTCGCAGCACGGCGCGAGCGTCTCCGTGACCGCGAGGGGCAGCAGCGCCTTCTGCATGGCCACCATCTGGCCGATCTTCACCTGGAAGCCGCCCTCGCGGAGCACGTGGTCCCGGAACGTCGCCGCCGCGCGCGCCATGTACGCGTCGCACGCGCGCTCGACGGCGCCGTCGCCTGTGGTGATGCGACGTCGCTTCGACGGTGGGTGGTCCGCGCGCGCGCGTTTCCGGAAAAAAACATCCGCGCTCCGCGGGATGGTCGCTCGTCCAAACATCAGCCGAAACGAGTGGAAAACGACCGACCTTTTCCCGCGCCGGCCGGCGCCCGCGTCGTCCGCGAGGAGTTTCGCGAGCTCTTTTTGGAACTGGCGGTGCGCGAGGCCCATGGTCGCCGCCGTCTTCGCCGTGCGCAGCGACCGCACGCCGCCCGTCGCCAGGTTCTTCACGGACGCGACGAGCGCCCCGGCCTCGGCGCTGCCGCTGCTCCGGCGCCGCAGTTTGGCGTCGCGGCGGTGCGTGTGGCCCTCGCGGCCGCACTGGGCCCGCGCCGACGCCGCCAGCGCCGCCACGTCCGCGCGCGCCACGCCCTCGCGCGGCGCGCGCGCCATGCTCTACGATGGGGGCTGGTCCTGTCCTGCCATCGGGGGCTGCCTCTAGTTGTTTCCGAGTCGTCAAACTTCAATTTGCCAAGTTTACCCCGCGACGGCCGGGCTGGCACCGAAGTCGGAAGTGAAGTCGGCACCGAAGACTCACCGAACTTCACCGAAGTCGCCCCTACCAACTTCCCTACCACGCCTCGTCGTCGTCCGGGTCGCGGGCGTCGGTGGACGACCGGCCGAAGGGCTTGTCGAGGGACGCGCGGCCGAAGGCCTCGGAGAGCGACGACCGGAGGCTCGGCGGCTCGAGCGCGTCAGCCTCGGGCCGCGTTGTGTCAGGCAGGGGCGGCGGCGGCGGCGGCGGGCGCCGCGGCGTGTCGTCCTCCGGGGCCGGCGCACCGCGCGGCGGCGTCGCGGGCCGCGGCGGCACCGGCGGCGGCGCGCGGTCCGGCGGTGGCCCCGCGGACGACGCGCGCGGCCGCGGCGACTCGTCGCCCGCGGCGGCCGCGGGGTCGCCGTCGTCGTCGTCGCCGTCGTAGGCGCCCGGCGGGTCGCCGGCCGGGAAGGCCGCGACGGCCTCCGTCGTGACGAAGCCGTCGGGCGCCGGCGCGTCGAGCTCGCCGGCGCAGCGGTCGCTCTCGGCGCGCGCGGTCACGACGCAGAGGACGTCGTAGGGCACGCTGTTCGGCGCCGCGCGGTCGCAGATCTGCGCGCGCATGGCCTCGCGCATGGCCCGGACGCAGGCGACGATCTCCCGCGCGTCGTCCTTGCGGTCGCGCGCGGCCCGCGCGGCGTCGGCGAGCGGCGACGCGAGCTGGAGCAGCGGGCCCTCCGCGGCGCCCAAAACGCCGTCGCGGAGCGCCCGCAGGCCCGCGAGCGTGACCTTCTGGGGGCCGAGGCGCTGGCCGTCGCAGGCGAGCTGCTCGAGCGCGGCGCTTCGAGATAAGAGCAGGCCGAGCGCCTCGAGGCCGGCGTCGCCTGTGTGGAAATCAAATCTTCAACCCGACTTCAATGTGCGCGTAATTGAACGGATTGCGCCGGACTCTTCGGCGGTGCTTCGAGAACTCGATGAGAGCAATCGATTCGTCCAAAAATCAGCCGAATCGACTTCGATTTGATCGAGATAGAGAGTTCTGAAGTTTGGTGGGGACCCCCCAAACCAGTGGTTGATTTCCACACAGGTCGTCGCCGCCGCCGCACTCGGCGACGTTCAGCACGCGGAGCTTCGGCGCCGCTCCCGCGAGCGCCGCGACGAGAGGCCCCAGGTCGCGCTGGAGCCGCGCGCCCTGGAGGTGGAGCGCGTCGAGGTTCGCGAAGCACGACGACGCGGCGGCGACGAGCCGCGCCTGCTGCTCCGCGGGCTCGGTCGCGCCCTTGGCGAGCGCCGCGAGGCCGCCGTGGCGCGCGAGGGAGACGGACGTCGGCGGCGAGTGCGCGTTGCCGAGCGCGTCGAGGAGCGCCCAGACGGGCCGGTGCGACTTGGCGGAGCCGTCGTCGAGGAGCAGCGCCTCGGGCCACGCGCCGCCCGGGCACTTGAGCTCGCTCAGCGCGCTCTTGGAACAGTCGAAGACGCGGAGCCGCTCGAGGCCGCGGCGCGCGCGCCGGAGCGCGCCGTCCAGGACGGCCGCGACGTCCTCGCCCCGGGCCGCCGGGGACAGCGTCGTCGCGTAGCGCAGGTCGCCGCACGCGAGCTCCCGGAGCTTCGGCAGCTCCTCCGCTACAGATGCGAGGCGCCGCGCGTCCTCGTTGGCCCCGAGGCGCGCGAGCGGGTGGAGCAGGTTGCCGGAGACGTCGAGGCGCACGAGGGACGCCGCGACGCCGCGGAGGGGCGCCGGCAGCCGCGCGTCGCGCCGCGCGGCCTCCCGGAGCGCGCGGAGCAGCTCCGAGAGCGGCGCGCCGCAGCGCGCGACGCTCAAGACGCGCAACCGGCAGCTCGCGGCGCCGACGAAGGTCGCCACGATCGCCGCGCCGGCGTCCCGGAGCGGGTTCTCGCCGAGGTCCAGGACGCGGAGCGCCGGGCCCGCCGGCGACGTCGCGCCGCGGAGCGCCGCCGCGAGCGACGCGCTCCGCCGGGCCTCCGCGGCCGCGAGGAGCGCGCGAACGAGCGCCGCGAAGCCCGCGGCGCCGCCCCCGACGTCGCAGCGCCGCAGCCGCAGCGCCCGGAGCAGACCGCAGCCGCGCGCGAGCCCCGCGAGCGCCGCGGCGCCGGCCGCGCCGACGCCGTTGCCCGACAAATCCAAAACCTCGAGCCGCTCCGAGAAGGGCGGCGCCTGCGCGAGCACCGCGCCCGCCGCGCCGCAGTCGACGAGCTTGAGGTCGGCGACGGCCGGCGACGCCGCGCAGGCGCCCAGGAGCAGCTGGAGCGCGTCGGCCTCGGGCCGGTGGCCGTCGAGCGCGACCTGTGTGGAATCCAAATCTTCAACCCGACTTCAATGTGCACATATGCGACAGTGTTGACGCAAGCTCTTCGGCTGTGCTTCGAGAACTCGACGAGAGCGATCGATTCGTCCAAAAATCAGCCGAATCGACGTCGATTTGACCGAGCTAGAGAATTCTGAAGTTTGGTCAGGACCACCCAAACCAGTGGTTGAATTCCACACAGAGCGCGACGGCGGCGATGGCCGTCGACGCGCGGAGCACGCCGCCCAGCGCGTAGAGCTCGAGCTTGGACACGGCGCGCGACGCGGGCCCGGCGTCCTCGTCGGCGCACATGGCCAGGTCGAGGATGCCGGAGACGGCCGCGGACGTCAGCGCGGAGACCGTCCGCGGCTTCGGCGCGCGTTTCACGTAGTGGCGCAGCCGCGAGTAGAGCGCGACGTGGAGCGCCGGCGCGTCGCCCGCGTCCAAACTCGCCGACGCCGCGAGCCGCTCGAGGAGGTGCCCCTCGAGCGATGGCCGCCGCCGTTCGAGCGCGCCGCCGGAGCGCAGCCAGAGCTCCCAGAGGCTCCGGGCCAGCGTCGACGTCGTCGGCGTCTCCCAGGGCACGGTCATCAGGAAGCCGCCGCGGTCCTCGTAGCCCCGCCGGAATTCGATCTGGAGCACGGCCCGGCCGCCCTCGCGCTCGACGTAGGCGACGCGCTCCAAATCCTGCGCGTGGCCCTGGCGGATGCACGCGAGCCCCGTCATGCGCCGCTTGATCGAGAAGAGGCGGTACGCGCCGAGCACGAGGATGCGCTCCATGGGCGCCGCGTCGTGCTCCCGGCCGGCGCCGTCGACGCTGAGCTTGCGGTCCTCGACCTTGGTCACCTTGGCCAGGTAGAGGACGCGGGCGCCGCGGAGCAGGGACCGGGCGTACTCCTGCTCGCCCGCCGTGACGTCGCGGAGGAAGACGTTCTCGTCGTCCATGCTGCCCATGGCGATAAGTGCGGCCACGCCGGCCTTCTCAGAAGCTGCCCGCGGCCATCGCGATCGCGGGGCAACGATGACTTCAGGAGGGTCAACATCAGCCCGCCGCACAGGGAGAGCATCGTTTGAGCAGTGCCGAGCGCACCCGCCGCCGTTCGTCCGCCGCACGCGCCGCGCCGCGCTTCGCTCCCATGCTCGCCCGCCTCGGCGCGAAGCGGTCGGCCTGCGACCTCGGCGCCGGCGCTCCGAAGCGCCGGAAGGCGGCGCCGGCGCGCCCCCGGGCCCGGGCGCCGCGCTGCGAGCGCGTCACGCCCCGCAAGGCGCCGCGGCAGCGGCTCCTGGACCTGGGCCAGCGGTCCCTGGGCGCGCGGCGCGAGTGCGGCGCCTGCGGCCTCGTCTACGTCGTCGGGGACCCGGCCGACGAGGCCGCGCACGCGTCGCGGTGCGAGATCGTGGCCTCGGGAGTGAAGGTCGAGGGCTTCCGCGACGAGCGCGTCGCCGCGGCCCACGGCGACGGCCGCGTCCTCGAGGTGCGGCGGGGCGACGGCGCGGCCAAGGTCGCCAAGGTCGAGGCCGTGCGGGAGGCCGCGGGCCGCGACCTCGGCGAGGCCGGCGGCGCGGGCTGGACGCGCGCGTACGTCTACGTCGCCGGCCGGCGCGCCGTCGGCCTCGCCGTCGTCGAGGCCCTCGAGGCCGCGGCGCCGACGCGGGGCGGCCTCGCGGGCGCCCTCGAGCCCTGCCGCCTCGGCGTCGCGTCGCTCTGGACGCTCGCGGCCTACCGGCGCCGGGGCGTCGCGCAGGGCAGCACAAGAGAGCGACATTCCCAACTTCAAAGGCTCCTAGCTCGGCCGTTTCCCACTCGTTTTGGCTGATTTTTGGACGAGCGATCATCTCTCGGAACGATCTCGAAGCATGGATGTGGTTTTCGTAACGCGCGCGCGCGGAACACTCACGTTGAAGCGACGTTGAATCACCCTTTTGCTGCCCAGGCGTCGCGACGCGGCTCCTCGACGCCGCGCGGCGGTCCTTCTTCTTCGGCTTCGACGTCGAGAAGCGCGACGTCGCGACGTCCCACCTCACGGCGGCGGGGCGCGCGTTCTTCGCCGCCTACGCGCCCGGCCGGCGCCTCGTCTACGCGCCCCGGGACGCGCCCGTCGGCGGGGACGAGCCGGTCGACGGCGCCTCGTAAAGCCGCCTTCGAGACGCCTCTTATTACGCCGCCTTGGCGGCGGCGGCCTTGCGGCACGCGTCCTGGAGGAGCTCCGTGTCCACGTCCGCGGCGGGGATCTGGATGTAGCGGACGACGGAGCCGCGGACGAAGACGGACGTCACGGCGACGAGCTGCGGGTGCCGCGCGGCGTCGACGACCTTCGTGTTGAGCAGCTTGATGTTCAGGTACTGGTCGATGGAGTGGAGCGTGCCCGTCAACGCGACGTCGTTTTTCAGCTCGACGGCGATCTCTTTGCCCACGAGCGTCTTGAACATGGCTGCGGCGGGTTTCGGCGCGTCGGCGCGCGGAAAGGCGGGGCAAAGGCGGCGGGAGGCGGGCGGCGCGCGGGCGGCGGCGCGCGCGGGCGGGATGTAGGGCGGCGGGGTAGGCGGGACGCGGCGCGGGCGCACAGTAGAAGAGCATCGTCGCCGATGTGCGCGAAGCGGCGCGCGCGGACGCGTCGGAGGGATGTGTGAACGCGGCGCAAGGGCTCGCGAGACGGTGGCAGGCAGCGGCAGCGCGGACAGCTCGACTCGCTGCGAGCTGCAGAGGCGCGCGAGATGGCTCAACTTCGACCTCGTGCCACAGCACTGTGCTGGGCTGCGCGGCTGCCGCCCCCAACGATCGTGCGCGCGATGGGCAGCGACGAGCGCGCCAAGGACGAGCGCGAGCAGTCGAGCGTGAACGAGGGCCTGCGCCTCGTCGCCCTCGCGGGGCTCCTCTGCTTCGCCCTGCGCACCTACGCGACGCTGCCGTCGACCACAGCCTTTCGCGACGCGACGCAGCTCGACGAGCGCCGCGGCGTCGAGCTCGAGCTCTTCGAGCTCGAGCAGCGGCAGCGCGGCATCGACCGGGAGCTCCGCGACCTCGGCGCCGCCGTCGCCGCGACGGAGGACGCCTGGCGCGGCGCGGCCGCGACGGCGGCCGCCGCGCCCGCGGCCAAACCGCCCGCGGCCGCCGCGCCGCGCGCGCGCGACGCGCCACCGGCGCCTGTGCGCGCCGCGCCGCCGGACACCGCCGCGAGCCCCTTCCCCGCCGCGTCGACCTGGGGCCCCCGGGGCCCGCCGCCCGACGGTTTCTTCGACGTCCCTCGGTGCGCGCCGCTGGGCAACGCGACGGGCTCGGAGTTCCACTGGTACGGCACGCCGCCCGCCAAGGCCTGCGACCGCGCCCGCGTGTCCCTGCGCCTCGAGCCGTCCTGCGCGTCCGAGCCGCAACGCGGGCCCCGGGAGCGGCGCCAGTTTTTGGTGACGGGCGTGCAGCGGAGCGGCACGCACTTCACGTGGGAGATGCTCAACCGGCTGGGCATCCACAGCCACCACGAGGGCCTGGGCCCCGCGGGGTCCATCTCCTGGCTCTACGCCTGGCGCGCGCGGTCCTACGCCATCGACAACCCGACGTCGCTCGGGAACCGGCGCTTCTGCGTCGTCCTCCACCAGGTCCGGCACCCGCTGCGCGTCATCTCGAGCGTCGTCAAAGCCACGAAGCCCCGGGACCGCTTCTGGGACTGGATCTACACCGTCGAGCCCAAGATCTCGCCGAAGCTACCGCCGATCGCGCGGTCCGCGCTGCTCTGGCTCCGGCAGAACGAGCTCATCGAGACGTACGCGGACGCGCGGTTCAAGGTCGAGGAGACGTCGCCGCGCGACGTCTGCGCCGTGCTGGGGTTTCCCGACTTCCTCTGCCGCGGCGACGGGCGCCACCACGCGACGTCGTCCAAGGTCGTCCAGCCCATCCTCGAGCCCCGGAAGCTGGCCCGGGCCGCCGCGCTCGCCGTCGAGAGCAAGACGCCGAGCGTGTCCTGGGCCGACCTCGAGGCGTTGGACGCGGGCCTCGCGGCGGACTGCCTCGCCATGGCGGAGCGCTACGGCTACGACCGGGACCCGAAGTACCACCCCCAGTCCCTCGACACGTCCGCGTTTAAGGCCTGAGGGGGCTGCGGCGCTGCGAAGGTCGCGCGAAGACGCGGCGAGCTCTCGTGCGCTCCAGGCGCGACTCGGACACTGCAACTTCGAGCCTTATTGACCTTGAACTTTGCGTCTGTGTGGAGCTGCGTGCAATGGCGTCCTGCGCACGCGTGCTGCGACGGCTCGCCATCCGCGGCCGGTGCGCCGCGGTGAGGCCGGGAATCGCGTCGGCGCCGCGGCGGCGGCTCACGGCGGAGGCCGACATCCTCGCGCTGTCGAAGCGGTCGCAGACGGGCGTGAGCCTGCG